TCCCAGTTAACATTTTTTTTACTAGGACGAAACCAGGACGGATTTTTTATTAGGACGCGAGCAGATCGATTTTAACCGCATTCTAGGATAGCGAACATCTTTTTTCGGGGTGTATAACTTCGGAAATATTATATAATAATTATGGGAGTTATATACCTGCCTTCCTATAATTATTAGTCAAAGTTAACCCGCCTTTTTACTACGTATGTTCTCGAATATATTTCTGGTGTCAAAAATTCCAGCAATCGAAATCGGCATACTTTAATATAACGTACTCGATAGCATTTTTTGATAACATTGTGGAATAGCATTTATGTGATATAGTTAGCATACATATTTGATAGCATGTGTGTAGTATACCCGATAGCAATTAGATAGCATTCCCGATAGCAATTATGCAACGCATATTTGATGAATCAGAGATTCGAGGCTCTGCCTTATAGCATTCCCCAATAACATTGATGATGTATATATCGATAGCAATAGGTAGGTAACATTAGACCAGCAAATGACGATACATAACTGAATGCATCGTCAGTATATTTTTTTGCCCATAACAGAAATCAGTCGCAATCGGGTCATTAAACTCGCGATAATGTGTATATAGCAAAGCCGATAGCATGTCCCGATTGCATTAATTTTTCTATTAAATATTCTATGTGGTATATATTGTTAAAGAATTTAGCGTAAATATGATTGATCTATTTGGTGGCGAAGAAGTATACAACGAGGAATATGAAGTTGAAGACTGTCATGTTAACAGGAATTCTCCTATGTGTACACCATGTAAAAAGTGTGGTAAGTTAACTTTTTCTATATCGGCAATATGTACAAGGCATGGTGGTAACTATCGAAATATGAAACATTATTACCGGAAAAAGCTAGAGAAAATGGCAGAAAAATCAGAAGTGCTTAAAGAAAACTCACAATAACATGACCCGATAACATGTATATAGCATAATGACACATGACTAAATGCATCGTCAGGTATATATTTTTTACCCATGTGGCCTAACGACGGAAATCGGCCATAATTACCAAACCAGCATACAAGTAATGTTATCGAATTTGGGTTATAATAAAAAACACAGAAGGACTAGGCTAGGGCGTTATAACCTATCTATGTGTCATAAAATATATATTACAACACTGACGATGGTATCATATTCCTGTCGTCAAAAATGTGTCATAAAATATATATCACGACACTGACGACGGTGTCATATTTCTGTCGTCACAACACTGACGACGGTGTCGCATTTTTATCGTCAAAAATGTGTCATAAAAAATATATCACGACACTGACGACGGTGTCGCATTTCTATCGTCATAACACTGACGACGGTGTCACATTTCTGTCGTCACGACACATTCATGAGTGGGAATAACCTAGACTAAGTGGAAATAACATAATTATGTTATTTCCACTACATGGTTACTTGTATGAAATTTAACCAATTTAGAGATAGCTGCAGTTGTTATTGCGATTTGGGCGATGTAAAATAATTTACTATTTGTCTGGTATTATTCTATTTTTTCATTCCCATTCTTTTATTTCTTTAAAGATATAGTACGTTTAATTATTATATAAAACAATTATATTCTGTACTATTTCTGAATCTACAATAAAAATATCTCAATGTAGAGTATTGATTGACTAGTCATCTAATTGTAGTTTTCCTGGGGAAAATAATTGAGAACCATGTGCTAAAGAAAACTGCAAAGTAAACTTTGAGTTTTGTGTACAGTCAGTACCACTGTACTATTACTTCATTAGTTCGACAGTAATGTTACGCATACTTCACTCAAATAAACTGTTAATGTCAAATAATTTGGATAAAATAGTTGTTTCTATCTGATAAATTTGTTAGTTTGCTATCACGCAAGTTAAAAATATAGTAGTGGTATTTGACATAGATATTTAACGATATTATGCATTTGCGGCTTTCCGTCCCAAACTTTGTGATTCTCCAAAACTTCATCAAAGTCCAACTATTGTATTGGATATTGTAGAGATGAGGCAATATCTTTTTAACATGTTTGGTGTACGTAGCTCTGATTTTGCATGACCTTATTGAGCCCGATATTCGTTAAATGTCATCCCTAACAATATTAATATGTAGATTTATTGTGGCAGTCATGAGCCATCTTTCTGCAAAAAACTAAAATATCAACACAACACTGATTTTATATCTTCACTGCCTAACAGGAAAAAGATGTTGATAATATCAATGGTAAATTAATGGCTTTGGTATATTACTGCTTGACATGATAAGCTAATATAAATATAGAACTTTTGCCCGTCTCATGTTCCCCGAAGGCATTGTACGAACCATTGAATTTGTTATTGTCTTATTGGACGCCTAATACAGCAATGTCAAACGAAATACACTAATAATGTAATAACCATATCCTCACCGATAAGGTTTAGAGTAGAAAGCAAGAATTAAGAGCTATGTACTGCATCAATATTTGTGCGTAGATTATCACTTGGAAATGTTAATTAACAGATAAATATGGAATGTTTGCCCGCTCTCATGTTCCATTCTCACGTTTCCGAAGCGGGTCACACAGAAAGTTCGTCTGGTATGATATATATAGCAATGTTGAACGTAAATCACTAATATGATAACAAAATTATAGATTATTACCACTTATGACATGTTACTCTTGCACAATACCAGCAAGATAACAATATAGCGCCAGAATGTCCATGCAACAATCGACAATCTGATTCAGTCCCCTCGAAATAAACATAATAATAAACTTGAATGGGTTTCCAACTCGGATATTACCGACGTAAAGCCAAGTCAAATTGACAACGTCTACTACGCTATTCGTAAGCCAACGTATGGTGGTAGAGTTAATGACGTAAAGATAACGTTGCAATTGGTCGGAAGTAGCGAAGAATGTACAACAACATTTGTGAGTGAGTTTGCTAACTTCCAACACACAAATACGTGTACAATAATAATAGCGACAACTTTATAAGATATTCTGTATGGCTTAGTAATTGCAACGAACTCATTAACTGGGTCTACATGGTTGCCGATAGAAAGTTTTACGATTGTTATTCTCGATATGGCTTCTGCACTCCGAGCGGTGCATCTGTGGACATAAACAATTATCCGATGGATGGACTAGCAACAATAAGCAACTCAGAAATCTCAATTACAAACTCAAACAAACTTCAAGCCTATTTGGAATGGATTCCATACAATTGCATTGATTATGGATATTATGGATATTATGCATACTTGTATGGTCTACCTACTTCTGATTATGAATAGATAACAGACGAGACACATTATTTATATTATGCCGAGGTAAACTAATTACTTATGCGTCATGTTTATTGAATAGTTTAAATAATTATTGACTTATTATCATGTATCATTTTGTGATAAGCATCCAGATATGCTTATATTCCCCTTTTCGTTTAGCCAGTGGGGTGGGGGGTAAGGATGATCTCGTAGTCACATGACAAGAGTCATAATGATATTGGTAATAGTAATAAAAACGAGTTATTCAAATATATATGTACTAGACCGATCTGGTCATTGAACCGATCTGGGATCTCATTAATATCAGGTGACCTAATTAAGGAATTGCAAGATTGACCAATGAGAATATATCAGATCCCAGATCGGTCGACGGTTTACATACAATGTTATTATAAATCCAGTTGCAGTTGCATTGTTTTAATTTATCAATGTGTTCTTTTTCAGCCTTTTTCATTAAGTATAAGTTGTTCAGAAAGAAATATCATTTGCAAGTCGCATGATCTACTGTTAGTTGTTTATACACAACCAGATTGGAATCGTCTGTGTATGCCGCCGGTTCGTCTGTCAACCTTTAAGGCACATCAGCAGGTAATTGTGAAAGGTTGGGCGATGATTGGTATAGTTGAGGCAGTTGTCCTGCTTGCAATTCGTTACGATAAGTCGTACATATCTATGACATGAGCTAATAATCGAGAGTTTACAGATCACGATATACTCTTAAGGTTATACGTCTATTGGTGTTATTGGTGCAAAGCCCACGATCGCAAGGGAGAACGCGTGCCAAAGTTGGCCTCCGGCGAAAGCCAGCCGCCAATCCCCCTCGTGAATCTAGCTATACTCACCCGCAGAATGAAGCTACCTACTGTCTACTATCTCGGTTAGTCTCTCGATTAGACTCCCAACATTTCGTACTTTTCCTCTTCACACTAAACGTCTCCACGTTCAAAAATATTGATACATAACTTTCGGGTCGGCAATAACAACACGATTCATGCCTAAAATGGCCATGCAAACACAAACCACTCATTCTGAAATCAGGCCCGCAGCGTGCTATGGCCATTCCTTGTTTCTCATTTGTCAGTTTGAATAACCTATGGGGATTATGGAATGGGGCTGGTTTGATGATTACTATTGTTGGACCTTTAGCATACGCATTGCAGAGTTCATGGAATGTCTTTGGTGTGGTGTGAATCCGGAAACAAGGTCCTAAAACGAGCACTGGTAGTACGATCTGCCCTGCAGCTTCTACAATCAAGTTAACGGAAGCTATTCTAAAAGCGATTGATCGTCCATTATCTAAATGTCCTTCCTCCACGTACCGGTATCGATACTAATCTCATCACCTGGAAACACGTTGATCTCGAATAGATCACAAAGGTTGGGATTGTTGCTTTATTAATGTAATTTCAAAACTTGAAAGTCTTCGTCTACCCATTTGCTTGGATCAGCTGAAAGTCTTGTTCATTTGTACTTTACGTAGTTCCACATACCCATCTCGTCCGTCACTAAATCGTTGGTTCGAGAACAGATGTCAAGATGTCGATTGGAAGATAATCACCCGTCTTGAAGAGAATTGCTGGATCGTCCCTCTGAACAATATTGATATGTACTCGGTGGAACAGAATAAGTTCGACATAGTCCATGTTCCCATTATCGTGTTTGATTAATTCTTCGAGTTGCACTTCGTCTGCCGTCAAGAGAATCTCATGAACCTCTTTCTTGTTTCCAATTTACAAATAATAAATCACAACTTGAATAATCTCAGCGGAAATTATGATGGATTTGATAAAGAAACCAAATTTGACACTTTGTATGTAATAAAAAATCACATCTCCTTACCCTAACCTATCCAATCGCAACCCCTTCTCTCTCCTCTCATTCTTCACCTCAAACTATCTTGGAGATATGTTATCTTTTCCGAAAATTATGATTTTAGTCTAGCCTTTGATAGAGCACGCATGACAGTAGGCTAATCTTGCACGAAGAATTACATGCATCTCACTCTTTACTCAACTACCGCGACCTCTTTGACGACCACAATGTTTACTCCAACGAATACTATCAATATAAACCAGCCATAACAATTCCTTTTACAAATACATCCCAACGGTATCGTCAGCAATGGTGATATCATCAACATTGACGGACGATAACCAAAAATAAATGTCCCAAGTAACGCATTGACTAATACAAACTCTTCCATACTAGCTGCATCAAGCAATAGAAATAATGGGAGCAGAGAATAAAGGTGAGGTGCTGAATCACCCAACATAAACAGGAGGCACCTTTCATGCGCGATTTTAGTAAAACGTATAACATCCATGCCATGCCAATTAATTAATGCCAAGAAATCTTGGAACGCGGTGCTGCAGCTCGAACGAGTTGTCGTTGTTGTCATCGTCTGCCGACGTCTCATTTACTTCGTTGAAGTTTGGAAAGCATCGTCAGCCCTGGTCGACTTTACTCAAAATACAATTGCGACTGTTGTAAATGATGCATGTTCGCTGATCAAATGAAAATAAATTACTCTTTGATTTTAAACTTACCAAGCACAGAGTAGTCAACTAAACTTGGCAGCGATCTAACGTACAATCATTAGCCATATTCCAGCTTCACATACTGGTAAGGTACAACCTAAC